CGCAGTGCTGCACTGACACCCACCTCGTTCCCAGAGACCCCAGTGAGGTGATTTGTACCCGCATGGACTGACGAGACCGCGTGCACATCCCTGGAGGGTTCGAGGCCAGGGTGGCTTTAAACTGTGGGAGGTTTAGATTAGATATTAGGAAGGAATTGTTCCCTGTGAGGGTGGTGAGGCACTGGCACAGGTTTCCCAGAGAAGCTGTGGCTGCACCATTGCTGGAAGTGTTCAAGGGCAGGTTGGACAGGGCCTGGAGCAACTTGGTCTAGTGAAAGGTGTCCCTGCCAATGGCAGAGGGTGGAACAAGAGAGGTTTGGTTTGTTAGTGAAAAGACATGATTAGAACAGAACTTTAAACTCAGACATTTCTCATGGACATCTTACACAAGCAAAAGTTTGATGACTCAAGTCCTTCACACAGATCCATCAACTGTGCACAGTTCTAGAATGATAAATAGTCTCATTGCCTTCAGGACAACATTAGGGATATTGAAATTTCCATGAAGAATTTCTTTACTGAAAAGATTGTCAAGCACTGGCACAAGTTTCCCAGAGAAGCTGTGCCTGCCCCATCCCTGGAAGTGTTCCAGGCCAGGCTGGATGGGGCTTGGAGAAACCTGGGCTAGTGGCAGGTGTCTCTGCCCATGGCAGGGAGTGGAACTGGATGTTCTTTAAGGTCCCTTCCAACTCAAACCATTCTGGGATTCTATGACTGCTGGAAATAGTAGCAAGTAGTGATTTAATTATTTTTCCTTCCTGCCCTTTAAGGCTGCTACAGTCTCACAATGAGTCAATTTTACAACAATGTTGAGGCAAAGGTTATTGAGGATGAAATGGTTCAAAAAGTCATTGAAGAGGGGCATCCAGAGGACCTCAGGGAGTTTTCCAAAGGGAAGAGTACTAAGGATGTGACAGAGCTACAGCTTCGTTTTAAAAGTGAGTATCTGTTGGGAAAGTTCCGCGTGGGGAAGCAAGTGGTCGACTCGGTGTGGGTGATAGAGCAAGCTTCAACTTTATTGTCCGACAGGCTCTTTTTTATACAGTGCAGGACAGGCATATAACTATCAATCATTTATAATTGGCTAAGCTCTAAAGATAGCATTCAGGTACTCTCCTTGCTTGTGGTTACAGCTGTGAGGATTGTTTCTTACTTTCCCAGGCTTGGCTGCATTCCTAGCTGTTCGTCTCAAACTTGTTTGTCTCACCCTCAAGGACAACTTGCCCCTACCATCTGCCAAGCTGAGTTACTCCTTATCTATATATAAGTTACTATCTCCAGAGCCTTCCTTGTATACTGCATTCCCAGGTGCATTCCCAGGACTGTGTCTGTGCGTTCCCAGGGGACTGTGTCCTTGCTCTTTTTAGCCTTCCCCAGGTGCATTCCCAGGATTATGTCCCGCCATTCTCCAACAAGTATCAGAATATATATACATTTTTTCCTTCTTCTTTGGTTAGAGGGTAGTAGAATAAAGCACAAAGTGGGTAACTGGCAATGAAACCATAATGATTGGCTCGGAATTATTCTGGGAAAAGTAACATCTGGACTCATATTTTTGCTTATACCTGTACCAAGCAGCTTCATGAGAGCCAACCAGGTGCTTTTGCTCATGGGTAACTTCAAAGCTGCTTCACTTCCCACTGTTTCTGTCCCTGTTTCTCCCATTTAACATTTATATTGTGGTGACACCTACAGGCCACAGCCCTGTTGGGCCCCTCGGTACATATCCAAATCCAAGCCTGGGAAGGCTCTGCCACGGCTGGAGATTATGTGAGAGCAATTTGGGAGGTTATGGTGATTACAGTCCCTTTTAGTGGTGTCCTCTGGTCATCCATAGCATGACCACAGCTTTCCTCTTACTGTCAAACCAGTTGTAAACTTGCATTCGAAAAACTGAAAAGGAAGAGCTGTTGGCTCAGTGTCTGAGTTTTCTGAGGGGGTTGCAATTTCATGGGCATAAATTTATTTTTGATTATTCATTCCATGCTCCAAATAATGTGTGGTAAGTCGAGTTCCTTGGAATAGACTCCCTTGACCTGAACCTGCATAGATTTGTCTGCAAATATGAAATACAGAACTGTGTGAATATTTTGTGCATGCAATTGCTTTACTCTGCACTCACTAAATGATGATAGCAGCGGAGCAACTAATGAAATCTTCTGGGAAGCCATTGAGAGGGGAAAGAGAAATGGGAGTGAGAATGTTCTGTATTTCCTGTCACCTTGGTCCTGATGTTTTGCTGTAGTGGCTAACAGCCTGCCCTTGTGATTCTGCTTTTGGAGGAAGCTAAATGCAGGGATATTGATTAGTTCTAAACTGCAGCCTTCACAGAAAGAGTAATCCCCAACTTCCTCTCCTGTGATGAGAATCCTGGGAGCAGGAGAGTCATTTACAAAAGCAGGAGCTGGCCACTTCTAGCCTGCAAACAGGGAGAAAAGCTGAGTATTATCCCAAACCTCCCTCTTGGAGCTGGAAAGGAAAATGAAGGTCAAGGCATAGCCATAGCAGTGGATTCATAAAGCCACTCAAGTGCAGGACCATAGTGAGCATCCCCTCAGTGCCTCACTGGCCTCACTGATGAGCAGTGTGCACTGGTGCAGGACACTGAGGTTAACTGGGCTGTTTCACTGAAATCTCCTCCAGCCAGTGGAGCTCTGAGCTCTCTAGGGCACTCATCACACACTGAAAATTATATTGGATGTAAGACTGGATGTGCTTCCCTTGTGCAGGACAGAGTGTCTGCTAACCTCAAGGCCGTCTCACATGGAAAGCAATTTTCTCTCTTTTTTTTTCTTTTTACCCATGGCTCTAGATATCCTGCAGATTGAGAATCTGTGGCAGTTTGAGAATCTGACTCAACTGCAGCTGGACAACAATATCATTGAGAAGATAGAAGGTCTGGAGAGTTTGGTTCACCTTGTACGGCTTGGTGAGATACAGGAGAGGAGGTTGGATGCCTTCACAGCTGCAAAGCAATCTGTGATAAACCAGGATGTCACCTTCCTTCTCAAACACGACTGATAGGAGCTTTCCAAGGGAAGGCTGTCAGCTGTCTGTGTGTTTCCTTATTTGACTGTCAAATGTCAAACTGCCTGAGTATCAGAGCTGCAAAACAATCCTTCAGATGTTTAAAAACTGGGTTTAATACATTTGGTCTGGCAGGAACAGGAAGCTGAGGCTTCAAGGTTGTTTCCAGGGTCTGTACTTGTATTTGGAGGTGACTTTCATGAATATTTATGGAAACACCTCTGATTTAGAAGCCTGTATTCTGTTTTCAAAGCTAGTGAAGGCATTTCGTAGCCTACAACCTACCATGTTTACCCCTATATGCTTCAGGGCTTGGTGTCATTGTTGTCCCACAAAGTGCCCATCCTTGTAGCCTTATGTGACTCCTTTCAGCTACACAGGATACACAGCTTAGAGCATTCCCTGGAACTGCAGCCACATTGCTGGCTGGAAGTCTAAATATATCCTCAGCACACAGGGTTTCAGCTCATAAGCACATTGTGAAATGTCTAATGAGTTCTTCCACCCAGTTGTCTGCACTGTTCTGCATGCACTTGTGAATCACCAACTGGTCACCACAGTTTAAGCAGAGTGGTTTGAAGCACATTCAGGTGTTCTGTTTGCCCAAAGGTTGCTTTAGCTGCTGCTACATGAGTGTCTCAACCACTCAAGGAACCTCATCAACTGTCTTTGGACTCCTGAATCACTCAGTATTGGCCTGAGGGCAAATACTGCCCTTTTGTCATGGTGAATGTAGGTGTTAGGATAGATGTTCTGGCAGGACAGGAGAACATTTCAATGAGAGAAGTAACTGAAGTGAATATATGTCTTTGCACACCTCCACCAGTGTGGAACTGGTTGGTGTGTGTCAATCCTATGGGAATGACCACAACAGTGGCATTGGTGTGGCAGGAAGAGTCTGCAAGAAACAAGGCAGAGAGCAGCCAACTTGCCTCAGAATTCCCCCTCTTGGGGCTTTTCCTCACCTCTTGTTTGGGTTTCCCCATAAGGTCAAAGTCCCTTTCAGGCTGTGTATGTAGACTCTGCATGGAATACCTCCAGCTGTTCCTCCCATTTAAAAGTTGCATGGATGGTCGAGTGGAGGAGATGGGATTGAATGATGATTTATTGGTGAGCTTTTCCTGTGGGACACTGATCACCCCTAAGGAAAATCTGTACATAAACTCCTAAATCCAGAACCAGGCTAAATGCAAGGTCTGAATCAAGGTGTTCTGCTAGAAATAATTTACTTTTGATTTCTAAACTCTTCCTCAGACTTGTCCTTCAACAACATTGAAGTAATTGAGGGCCTGGATACCCTTGTCAAACTGCAGGACCTCAGTTTCTACTGTAACAAAATATCTAAAATTGAGCACATGGACACATTGCAAGAGCTGCAGCTTTTCTCCATAGGGAAGAATAACCTGACCTCTCTGGATGATGTGAGTGCTCCCTGGCTTGGAAAATATTCCCTGTCAAAAGATCAGATATTCTAAAACTGACATATGCCACTATGTCCAAGCTCCTCCTTAGAGGAGAAAATTCTCCTTAGGATTTCTAAGTAGTCTTAAGCTGTGGTTTTGGTCAGCTGTACTGGTGTTAAGTGCTTATTACAGCTACTTCTCTTTTAGATTATTGACTGACTTGGGCCTGGTTCTGTCACTGCCATCAGCCATGGCAGAATTCCTATCAACTTCCAGGAAAGCTAGAAAAGGAATAAGTAGCTATATATGAGGAAAGGAGGGAGAGTAGGATTTATTTGGGGTTCTTTTGAAGGCATCTTACCAATATAAGACCTGTGATTTGTCCACCCCATCTGCTTTCTCTCCCCACCCATTGTCCAGATATTCCCAGTGTGGATTTAAGTATTTCCTTTCCCAAAAGCATTAGAAACTAATAATTTAATGTTGCCTGAATTTGGCAGTGGAGCAGAATACAGATTGCAACCTAATTATAATAAGAGCAACAAATTTCCAGGCTGTGTTTCCCCAGCACTGGGAAATCTCTTTCCATTTGGCACAGGTGATCTATCTCAGGAGGTTTAAAAGCTTAAGGACACTGAATCTCACTGGGAACCCTCTCTGTGACGACGAGCAGTACACACTGTTTGTTGTTGCTCATCTTCCAAACCTGAGGTACTTGGACTTCAAGCTCGTGAAAGACACCATGGTAAGATTTCTGCATTCCCTGCTTGAGAAATCAGGCAACAGCATCTCACAGAGCCTTTGCTTTGTTGGTTTGCCAGCAATATTCCAGCACTGGGGGCAGGTTCGCTGCAGAAATCAGGCTCACAGAAACACACAGTGTTTATTCTGCTTCCACCTAACAGCTGTGAACCTGTAGGCCAAATTCTATCAAATCTGACAGAGAGGTAGAGGTGTCAGAAGCATGATGTCTTCACAGATCTTGTGAAACTCAGCAGCTGTGTGTGGGAGAGGGGCCTGGTTCATGTTGCCACAGGGAGGCTGTAGTGTGAGTGCAAGTCTTCTTAGAGAATCTCAGAGGAAATCAGTCTTGAGACATGGATCCAGGGGGAAGGAGGCTTGGTGGTCCTGCTGCTCACAGAGTGATGTGTTTCTGTAGTACACTGACAGACTATCCAGGCAAGCAGGTGCCCTGGGTACACTTCCCACTCTTGGTTGCTGAGAACAGGACAGTACATCCTCACCATTAACCCATGGGGCTGCTTTTTCATCCCAGGGCTCAAAGGAACAAAGATGGATGTTTTGTTCAGATGGTTTTTTTAGTAACCAAAAAATATGATTAATTGTAAATTTGCTTGGCACAGCACAGAGCAGGAGCTCTACTTGGAATATACATTGTTCTCACTATAGGACTGGAAGGGCTTTCCAGGTCACGGAGTGCAGTCCCTGCTCATCAGGCAGTACATCAGAGAATTGCATGCTTAAATTTGTCAAGCTTCAGTTTCAAGCTAATGAGGTTCTTGCCCCTGCTATTACCTTTCCATCCACTCCTCCAAAGAGCCTTCTCCTCCCTAGAAAATGTATTAGCCTCACTGGCTGATCAAATCAGAGCTCCAATTCTAGAAGTCAAAATAGGTCTTCCTGCTAAAAGAGGAAAAAACAACTCTAAAGGTGAGGAAATGGGGAGAGTAAAGTTCCCTGGCAGTGAATCAGCTCAGATGCATTGAATACAGAAACAGAATAATATGCCAACAAAAAATGGGATGAGGAATGGATTAGAAACTTCATAGGTAGTTTAATAAAAAGCCAAGAAAGAAATGGAGGTGCAGATGCCACTCAAGTGCATGTTCTAGAAAGATCAATTGCTTATGCCCAGATTTGTTGAGCAGTGCTGGATAATCTAATACAAATATTTTGTGTTTCTCAGAGAGAAGCTGCAGCTTTAAAGTATCAAGATCTCACTAAGCCACGGGAACGTGAGGAGGCTCGAGCCTTTGCTCAGCTGGAGAGCAAACAGGAAAGGCAGAAAGAGCAGGAGTACCACGAGGTAAGTTTTCTTTGTCTGGCTGTGTGTTGTCTCAGGAGAAAGAAGGACAACACATATTGACTTGTCTTTTACCTGTATGAAGATTTAATGAAAGGTTAACATCTGAGGCTTGGATTAATCTCTGTGATCTCTGTGATCTCTGAATCTAGGAGGGTGAATGAAAACAGGAACTGCCATGGAATACACATAACATGGGGCAACATAATTCCTTGGGCTGAACAATGAAACTACAGCTAGAGACCCTAAGCTAAATAGTAAATCATACCCAGAGAGCTTATCAGCCTGACATGAGATTAAGAAAATTGCAGGTCTGAAGGAACTGTGAGAATTTTTGGGGTGAAGTACCTTTTTTTTTCTCCTCCACACTAAGTTAATGCTTCTCATTAGTTTTTATTGTTAAACTGTTCAGAGCTTTGAGACATCACTATAGTCTTATGAACAGGCTGAAAACAAGAGCAGGTGGAATGGTGCTTCCAGTTGTAGTCAGGCTCTGTATTCCAGCCATTTGGAAGACCTGACCATCTGAAGTTTAGTGGTTTAGTGGCAAAGAGGACACCTGCAGCTCTTCCCTCTGTCCCTCCCCAAAATTCACCAACTCCTTGTCTGAAAGGCTTAATAGCCTTGCAATATGTGTTTGTATGTGATAATGTCTTGCCATTAGCAACTAGAACAGGTTTGCCAGAGAAGCTCTGGCTGCTCCATCCTCCTGGAAGTATTCAAGGCCAGGTTGGAGGAGGCTTGGAGCAACCTGGTCTAGTGGCAGGTGTCCCTGCCCATGGCAAGGGGATTGAAACGAGGTGATCTTTAATGTCCCTTCCAACACAGACCATTCTATGATCCTGTGACTCTATGATATAAGATTAAATGGTGTTTTCTATCCTTAGGCTACAGAGTTGTAGCAGCAAAGCCCCCAGGATGGGTTTCACTCTGGTTGCAGGGGGCTGTCATGGCTTGGTTGGTGTGTCGGTTGTGTTGGTATAACTGTGTCTGCACCAGTGTTCTGCTGCTGGTGAAGTGCTCACAGGAGAGACACATCCTGAGGACTGGCAGCAGGTTGGCACTCTTTATTTTACTTATTTTGCTCTGATTCTCTTCAAAGACAGCCTTTGTTGAGCACCTGAATGGATCATTCCTGTTTGACAGTCTGTATGCAGAGGATACAGAAGCTGCCAAACTGGCTTCCCTCCCTGGAGTGGGGGACCTGCTGCAGGAATATCCTTCCTGGGTTTGGAATACCTACAGCTAAAACATAATGACTTGAGTTAAGAAGGAGGTGCATCCACAGGGACTCTTCATCCATTGCTTTTGTCCAGGGCTGAAAGCTACATTGATCTAAGATCTGAGACAGTCTGTGTTCAATTTTGGAATGGTACCAAAAAATACACTGCAAGACTGTGAGACCACTGACAGCTTTAAGGCTTGATATCTTGTGAAATATGAGGGCTCCAAACAAATGGTTTATATTACTGGCAAGCTGGCCTGCCCAGCTTGAAACGTCCCATTTGTAAACCCACTTGTTTCTAGCCCCAACAGGTCATGAGATTCCAGCATTTTAAATTTTCGCTGTTGCAATTACCATATTCCTTTTCCTTCCCTTGAATCAAACACAATTTCAGTAGCCTCCTTTCCTGACCCTTCAAGAATCAAGGCTTTGTACTTTCTTTAAGTCTGGAATCCACTTAAAGTTTAAAATGAGCTGGAAGATAAATCTCTGTCAGTGAGATTGTAAGAGCACAGTCACTAAAATCATGTTGAAATTGAAGTGGTAGGAGATAGGAACAGACTAATCAGAACGATATGAGTTGCATATCTCACAACCTGCCAGAACTGGCAACGCGAAGTTTCCAGGCCAGCACATTTTTCTGATCATTGCTCCTACACAGGGGAGCAGCAAGCAGACACTTTTTTGCCTTTTTTTCTTTCCTCATTCAGATTAATAGAGTATTGTCAAGGCCAGTAACTTGACCTTCCTTAAAATTGCATTACACTGTTGGGGAAAAATGCATCACAGCTTAACTACAATAGACTCCAGAAACAATTCCATTGCCAAGATAATAGCAGAAGAAAAATTGACGTTATTTTTGTGATGCTACCAAGTCAGTAGTTTATTCTGTGCTCTGGCTGTAGGCTCCAGAGCTGTATTTATTAACTACAAAGGCACTGTATTCACACTTGTGAAGACAGATAGGGTTGTACACTTCCTTCTGCTGCTGTGTCAGAAGAGTCAGAGAAGTATGTGTATTTCCTTCTCTTCCTCAAGGCTTTTTTCCCTTCAAGTTGCCACAGCTGTCTCCATTCCCTCAAGGCAGCAAAATCCTATGCACAAAATGTGACTGTGTGACCCAGTCCTGCCCCAGACAGAATATTTGGCAGCCTGCTCCCAGCAAGAACCGCAGACTTTACATAACAGTAGCGTGTAGCTCTTGTTTCTCAGATTTGCAGAGGTAGAGGGAACATAGCATGTTGCTCCACTGAACAAGCAAAACACCTTGACTCTGCTGTCACATACAGAAAGGAGTTTGTCTCAGTCTGTGGGAAGCTCTTTAACTTTGGCCTGAAAGAGCATAAGAAACGAGAAGCTGAAGTCTCTGATTTCTACGCAAGAGTTGATGAAGCTCTAAGAGCCAACCAGGAAGAGAGCAAGAAAGTAATCCTAGACTTTGAAAATCGGAACAAAAGGGTAATGTTCTACTTTTGTTTGTTTGATACATTTCTCTACATCATATGCCAGCTTCCAGTTTCACTGAAAAGGAGTGTAACTCCATGAAAATGAGGAAAATTATTCTGGATTGACGCTGCTCTAGCAGGAATCAGTACTTGATCCTTAGTGGCAGAATCACAGTGCGGTTGAGGGTGGAAGGGACCTCTGGAAGTCATCTGGTCCAAACCCCCTGCACTAACAGGGCCACCCACAGCAGGCTGGCTGGATTCTTGGGATGTTCTCTGCAGGGCCAGGAGTTGTGCTAGATGATCTATGTGGGTCCCTTCCAACTCAGGACATTCTGTGACTCTGTGATTCCATGACCATGTTCAGACAGCTACTGAATATCTCCAAGGATGGAGACACCACAACCTCTCTGGGCAACCTCTTCCAGTCACTGATATGTCCTTACACATTTCTTACAGTAGTAATTTATATCTAGAAGAATTGTTGTGTTAGCTAATATAATGTTAAAAGATTTTTAGTACTTTATTCAGGAAAATAATTTGGGGATTGAAGTTTTAACCCTTGGAGCAAAGCACAACCAGCTAACACAGCCTCAATCTATACTGGGAACAAAATGAACAGGTCATACTCTTATCCTTTCGTCCAGAAAGGTCAAGGTCTTTCAAGGATTTACAGGGGAAAAAATGGCTAAGTAGGGTGGGGGGTTTTCTCTTGTTTTTTTGCCATCCAGAAAAATTACCAGAATTTTAGAAAATGGAAATGCTCAACTTTACTTTCAATTTAAATATTTTTGATGAGTTTGATTTATAATATGTAGGGATTTACTGCTACTCCCCTTCTCTTTGAAGCCTCCAATAGCTCTCCCATCATTGAAAAATGGGGAAGAAAAGGAAGGAAATTGCAGGGTATTCAGTTTATTTTCAAGTAGTTTTCTGCTTCAGTTCATTTTGTCAACAACAGCTCAAAGAACTATAACAAAAAAATTAGATAAAGTTATTCCAATGTATTTCTAGTCTTTTTAAAGCAGAAACTCTCTCTTTTCAGTCTGCTCAACTACAGCCACCCATTGTGGTTGCTCAGGGCGTAGCTTCTAGCTGGATCCCTTTCTAACCATGTATAATGGATGGATCATGATTTTGTTTCCACAGGAAAAAATAAGGGGAGGGCTAAAGCCTAGTAACACTGTCAGCTGAGAGAGCAAGTCCCTGACAAGTGACACCAGCAGAGTCACGAGCTCTGGCTCCCTCTGAAAACCAGGTCACTTTTATTTCGGTGCCTCATCAGAGACTGACAGCTGCTGAGTCACTCTGCTCCCAGGGCCTTGAACCTTGCTGACTCATGCTAGAAAACTGGCTCCATCAGCTCCAGTCAGGGCATGAGTTGGCAGCACTACCAGAGTCATAGAATCACTGGAGGGTTTGGGTTGGGAGGGACCTTAAAGATCATCTTGTTCCAACCAAAAGTTTGACATGGGTATTTGGTTAACTTGTACTTGAATTCCTAATATATCTTCCATAAAAACCCCTAAACCAAACCCTACAACAACAACCCACCCCCCCCAATCAAACCTAAAGAAACATGGCTGAGGACAGATTTTGGCCCTTTATCTCTGATGACCTACAGGTTCAGCTATGGGTTGGGCTCAAAGGGCATGGAGTGCCAGGGCAAGGGGGAATGGCCTTAAGATGCAGAAGTGGAGGTTTAGATTTGATATTGGGAAGGAATTCTTCCCTGTGAGGGTGCTGAGACACTGGCACAGGTTGTCCAGAGAAGCTCTGGCTGCCCCATCCCCCTGGAAGTGTTCCAGGCCAGGTTGGATGGGGCTTGGAGTAACATGGTCTAGTAGAAGGTGTCGTGTCCCTGCTCAGGGGAGATGGAACGAGGTGATCTTTAAAGTCCTTCCAACCCAAACCTGTCTGTGATTCTATGATTCCATGAACAGAACACGGTGATCAGCATGAGCGTTTTCATGTAAATACTAGAAGAGTTGGTATCAAAACTGAACACACTCTTTTAGCAGCATTTCCCCACTCATTTAAAACTGCTGGAGGAGTTCAAAAGGCACAGAGGCCCATGGAACGAGGTGATCTTTAAAGTCCTTCCAACCCAAACCTGTCTGTGATTCTATGATTCCATGAACAGAACACGGTGATCAGCATGAGCGTTTTCATGTAAATACTAGAAGAGTTGGTATCAAAACTGAACACACTCTTTTAGCAGCATTTCCCCACTCATTTAAAACTGCTGGAGGAGTTCAAAAGGCACAGAGGCCCCAGCAGACTGCAATCTGTGAGCCATTCTGAGGGCTGTTTGTCTGGCTGTAATCCTTTCATGTAAACTTGGGTAACCTGTAAAATCACTGCGCTCTCTGAAGTTGGTCACAGAGCATTAAAGGCCTTGAACTTTGAAGTTATTGCTCCCAGAGGTGTGGCATGAATGGCTGCAGAGCTTTTTGAGCCTCCTAACTTGTTTACATTAGAGAAGGAGATACCTTGCTCTCCCCTTCCCCCTGTAACACTCCAAAATTTGGGTAATTCAGTTCATTTCCAGACACAAGACCTGGCAGTGGTTTCCATCAGAATTTTTTATCTTAGCCTGTTCCATTCCCTGTCAGAAGTGGATTAGACATCTTAAAACATGTATATTTTTCCCCTTTCTTTTAAGCATTGATTGTTAACTCCTTTTAAACAGACTTGAAAATAATACATTGTGAAGCACAAGAGGATATTTTTTTGATCCAAGAATACATAAATCTTGCCTGATACAAAACTGACGTCAATATTTAATTCTGAAGGGCAATAAATCCTTGCTGTAAGAGGAAGGCAGGCAATGACAGGTGTTCTATATTCAGAATACTAAATCCTGACCCTATGGAAGTCAGTCAAGATTCTCCTTGGCATGAAGTGGATCAGGATTTAGGCCTGTGTTTCCTTCTGCAGAGTAATTGTTAATCTCTTCTTCATGGCCAGCAATGTCAGGAATTTAATATAACTCTTTTTTCACTTGAAATGAGTCAGAAGGGGAACACAAGTTGGAGGCATAGAAGGGGCAAAGTCTTCTGCTGAGTGGAGGATGAGGAAGCATTTTCCCAATCCCACTGCACTGCCCCTGGATCAGGATCGTTAGCACAGTAGCAAACCTCAGCACTGTTGACTAACCAGTATGTAAATCTGGAGACTTCCCTGAATCATCACATTTCATTTCAGCTAATCAGCAGCAGGAACTTTTCTCACACATGTAACAAGTTAATTAAATTGCAATGGAGTGCTGAACACAAACTGTAAGTAATTTATGTGTCTCTGTGTTTAGAGGCTGGATGAGATTCATCATGCCAAGAGTTATGATATTGCTGAGTCTAAACGAGCTGAGTGCAAGGAGGACATCCTTCAGCTGTCAGAAACACTCATGACCTTGGAAATACTGGTAGCTGACCAGCTGGAGGTAAGGGTCAAGCACACACCTTGAGACCTCACAGCCAGAACATGGAGGGGTTGTTGCTCCCCTGTGTTTAGAAGCTCATTGCACAAAGAGGTGAGCATAGGTCTTTCACTCAGGGTAATGCACAGAAAGGACATCAGCCTGTTGAGATGAATCCAGAGGAGGCCACCAAGATGATTAGAAGGCTGGAAAGGAAAGGCTGAGAGAATTGGGATTGTTCAGCCTGGAGAAGAGAAGGCTTTGGGGTGACCTAATTGTGGCCTTCTGGTGCCCAAAGGGAGCCTACAAGAAAGATGGAGAGAGACTATTTACAAGGGCCTGGAGTGACAGGACAAGGGGGAATGGCTTCAAACTGCCAGAGAGTAGGTTTAGATTAGATATTAATAAGAAATCATTTACTGTGAGGGTGGTGAGGCACTGGCACAGGTTGCCCAGAGAACCTGTGGCTGCTCCATCCCTGGAAGTGTTCCAGGCCAGCTTGGATGGGGCTTGGAGCAACCTGGGCTAGTGGAAGGTGTCCCTGCCCATGGCAGGGGGTGGAACTGGATGATCTTTAAAGTCCCTTCCAACTCAAACCAGTCAATGATTCTGTGATCTTATTCTTTCTCTGCTCAAAGTTGATGTGGGTAAAATCAGGCCCTGGACATCAATACCTTACAATAGATTTCTGTTTCTCAGAGCAGAACACAGTATGTCCTTCACATCTATCCAAGCTGATTTTCCACACTTTAGAGAAAGGGAAGTCACGCAGTCACTTTATAGGTCTGCACAAGTTGCTGCATAGCATGGGGTATGCATTTGGGATTCTAGAGGTGTAATTCTTTGAAGCTGATCTTTGCTATGAATAAGATTACACACAT